GCTCGAGAGACTTCCTTTCGTCTGCACTTTATTTCTCACTAAAATTTCTCAACTTGTTCATTAAAATTCCGCGTGTTTTACGAGACTGGCCAACTTTCTTGGCCGACTCGCGACCAACTTGTTTCATTACTCCTTTTTACGACGGCAGATTATATTTTCGAAATTGGATAACGCGCTGCTACAATTCGCATTCCTTATTATTTCAACCTTTAACCCTTTGCACTCGTATTTACATTTGAGAAGACTAGCAATCAACTCTGAATTTCTTTTTCATATTCGATCAAAATGAAAACATTTTTATGGGAACATATTATAATTTAATTTATCGGTTTAGTAGAAAAAATTAGAAAAATACATGACTATATGGCGACATACGAGTGGAAACGGTTAACGCGTTGAACGCCATAATTACAAACGCCTAAATAATTAAATGAAAACAATAGAAAAACATTATTTTAAATAATATTGCTATGGTACAAATAACGTGGAATCGCAAATAGAAAGCTTGAAATTTGAAATTTGAAAATTAATTATCACTATTCTTAGTAATTAAAGCTTTAACACGTCCCAAAAAAAATCCCAATTTCACTGTGGCGTTCAACGTGTTAAAGAACCTCGGTGGATCGATAACTTTTCAAAGATCTTTCGATAATTAACAATCGACGGTAATTAGGAACGTCTTGGAAACGGCGATATAATCGGTAAACATTTAAATATAACTTCAACAAAGATTCTGCCAGGACACAGGGATTATTAATCTCTGAACAAACAGTGCTAACGAACGACGAGCCGGGTTATGTACATAAACGTGTAGGGATTTCGCAAAGTCGGGATTGCCTCGACGAGTTATCAATCTCGTCGAAACAACGCCCTATCTTCGACGCGAGGGAAGATTTTCGATACCCTACTTAGATTTTTCGCGCGTTCAGTTGGGATCCGGTTGGAATTTGGAAATTGAGCGAAAAGCGAACGCCAGAGGTATGGCGAAAGAAAACGAAGAGAACGTTGGAGAAAGCTTTTTACCAGCGAAGGGAAACGAGAATTCCATTTAACGGGAATCTAATTCACGATGCTGGAAAATAATACCACTCTGGTCTGTATTAAAATTGAACGAGCAAGAACGAGACGGTCGACGTTCCTTTTCTCCCTTCCTAATCGCATTGCTCCACGAAAACGCTGAAAAACAAAAATTTCTTCGGTGAATAATCGTGAAAACATCCGTCGGTATACCGGCGAATATTACGAACGAGTCTTTGATGAATTTCATTACCCAACTTTCTTTGTTCCACGAATCGTTCCCTCCAAGTACCCGCCGTCCGCATCGTTTCTGATACTTTTTCAACTTTAATATTAAATTCTTCGGAACAGAGCTCACCTATCGAACGCGCCAAGAACAAAGTAATTTCAGATTTCATAAACAAAAGAATCGGGAATTTCGTTTAAACGGAAACGGAAATTATAGAGCCGTAACCTTGTTCAAGCACGATTAAAAGAAACAGAGCGACTAGCTTCGCGGAGAATGAAGGAAATAGAAAAGAAATCCAATTTTCTGCGATAGTATTCCTGGAAAGGTGCTTGAATGATTATCCCTTAATCAAATTCGCGTTTCTTTCCAACATTATTTCGCTTTTCGAATCACCGAGTAAATTGGTAATTAACGCGAAAGCGTGTTTATAGCATAAATACGCTCATGTTTTGATTCAAATTTATTTCGTTTGCAAACGTGACACCTTTGTATTTTTATCACGATTTACGTTATTTATCGCGCAATCCACTGTTTACCGCGAACTTTCGACGATATTTCTCGCAATTTGGAATATGAAAAATACGAGAGGCGATATGAAATCGAGGAAGATACCAGTAACGCAATATCCACGGTAAAACAGTGAATCAAGCGACTTTCTTTCAGGTCCGTCGTCGGAAAGTGGTTCTCGTTCAACAACCGACTCATCTCTAACTCTCTTCAAAGTTCGTCGCTACGAGAGTTCGGTATAAAATGAATTTTTTCTTCAACTTCTCGGTAAAATCAATCCTAATTTCATCGAACCGCCGACACGATCGTTTCTGATTTCCCTTCGGATCTCGAGCGTATCTCGAAAATTTGTCTGTTCGGAAGTCGAGACACACGGTGGAACGATTCGGAGGCGGTTCGGTAAAAGTGGAAAAGCGTTAACCTACATATTCATTCGCGCGGCAAATCATATTCAGTTGGCAAAATGAAAACGGCTCCGCGATACATCCCTCGCGTACACCTACGCCTAACCGGATGAATAACGCGTTAACTGTACGCGCTGCTTCTGCAACGTTATTGATAAAACGTCGCGTTGGAACGAGCGTGGTTTTCCGAGGGGGAAAAAAAGAAGAATGGTTCTTTTTTCGGCCCGTCCTAACGTCAGGCGAAATTCACGAACATTTGTTCTTGAAAACGTTCCCACCCCGGCGCGCCGCTCGCTCTCGCGTGTCCTCGTTCCTTGATAAATCGTGGCCGGCCACGATATTCAAGAGGATGAAGGAAAAAGGGGAACGTCGAACGATATCGATGACAAACGAGTAATCACTTTGTTACGGGCAAAAGGAAAAACAGCGGTTCGGGTTGCTCTCTGAAAAATTCGGTCTCTCTCCCTGGTCCGCCGTCACCAGGGTTTCCCGGTAAGAATGAAAGTCGCTTTCAAAGTGCAATAACGTGTAGCAGGAAGTTTAAATACCGAAGAATCATTACTATTTATCATATAATAACGTGAAATTGTTAAGTATGAATAAATTGAACAGGCTCGGAACGCACTGTTGCGGTTTATTGATTTTTTTAAATTGCCACTCTATACCGCGGGGCGCATTAACAGGCATTAATTTTGCTGTCGTTGCGGGCTGCAACAATAAATTGCGCCGGTAATTAAAGCGTCTAGCGGGAAGAAAGGGGAAAGAAAAAGTGCATAAAGTGCAGAATAGTTCTTTGCCGTGTTTCTTACCGAAACTCTAGTAATTCAACGTTCCATCCTTTCTTTCTCTTTTTTTTTTCACTGATGAAAGTATGACTGTTCAAAGCTGAGTAATGGAAAAAATAAAGAGCTTTCTAAATTGAATTTAACATTAATCAGCGAGAGTGGTAAATAAGATTCTTCTTCTATTTTGTTACACCTGGCTAATAATACACCGGACAGCCTGTAGATATCTAAGCGACGTTGACTTTCAATTTACATTCCCAATAAATTCGCTTCCCCGTGCAGTTATGCAGCTACCTATGCCCGCAACGTATGTCACGTACACAGTTGAACACGTGTTACGTGAACTACCACTGTGTATAAAGGGTTTGTATGTAGGGGAACGGATTTGAGAGATGGTAGGGGTAACTGGAATGCCGCCAGCTTTCCATGTTCGATGATTTCGCATTAAACTTAAAATGTACGACCCCGCTAGGTGGATGTCGCGAGAACGACAAACGAAGGTTTATCAAAGCACCGATAAACGGGCATTTTTATATGTAGGATAGTGGACATTCTCTAGTATTAACCTTTTTTGGCTACGGGGCAACCCTAACGCAGACGTGGTTAAAAAATAAAAATAACAAAATAACAATCTCGTGATATAAAATAAAATAGAAATTAAATACAAGAAATCGGCAACTATAAAAATAACAATGCAATAATATTCTGCTCTACCAAAGTTAAAAATGATTGCGAAATTCACCGTCTAGGGTGACTAAAGTCGTAGTCACTATGACTTTCGTCGTAGTTTAGTTTATACAAATATAATCTTCACCTAATTCCAATAGAACTAGAATTCGTTTCCACCTTACCATCGTCAAATCCCACATTTATCAAACCGACTATCCACGAGAATCTCTCCAAAGTTACGTTACGAGGGAGATAAAAGTATCTACATGATGAATTTTAGAATTTTAAACGAAACCCTCGAATACGATTCTATAAACATTCTTTGAAATATAAAAAGAATTCTGGGATCGTAGAATCATAGATTCCATGAAATATGCAGTCTTCAAAGTATTAGGACACTACCTTCTTGATTATGTCTGACTACAAACAGCTGTTTCCACTGGTAACGAATGAACCGCACAGACGGTTTCCTACTATAAAAGATTGCAAATAAACGCACGTGATTATTTGCTTACAAGATAAATAAAAATAAACACAAAGAAGGGATCTCGTTTACAAATAAATCGTGAGGCTTATGCAAATAACAGTAACAATGGAAACACGATGTTTAACTCGTGTAGAAATACAATGCTTCATTTGTACATAACAGATGTTGTATCTTTAACAAGATGATAAGGAATGTTTAGTCAAGCGATTTCTTCCAATTGTACCGTTTATCATTGTACGTTACAGCGTTCGTGAAACTGCATTTCATGGATTCCATGATTCTTACAATTTTATTTAGGATCTGATATAGGATTATCCAAATTTAATGTCACATCTTCAAATTGAAATAAAACGGGAAGTATGTGATTTTTCTATGGTTTCTTTATTTTAACACAAAGTCTACTGTATGACATTAATTATCAAAGACAATATTATTCAAATGCCCTTCTCGGATTTTTTTATGTTTCACCCAATTTTTCATTATATATTCACACAAGTGGAATTGAATTTCATCAATAGCAACTGTGATTTTCTTGCTCAGCTCTTCAATAATCTTTGGATTATTGGTGCAAACCTCACTTTCCATAAACCCCATAAAAAAATCTAATGGTGTTAAATCATCCGATCTTGGCGACAATTGGTATCTTCTTCTCATGAAAAATTACTCGTTTATTAAATTTGGTCAAACGTATCAAGCTCGCAAAAAAAAGCGGAGAAGGACCGTTGAATGATATTGTTTTCCATAATTAACGTCATAAAATAGACTTTGTATTAAAATATAATAACCATACAAAAATCAAATACTTTGCGTTTTATTTCAATTCGACGATGTGACACTCAATTTGGATAACTCTATAGAAATGCATGGCCATCGGTGTTTAGGTAAATGAAAATAATACTCACGGGTGTTTGGTGAACCGGAGTAACGGGAACAAGCACAGCTAATCCTCGTCAAAAACGGCACACACTCGTAGCACTGATCCAGCACAAGAAACCAGTTCACTTTGGTCAAATAATCGCACGAAACATCTACAACTACTCCGGATTCCATCCAGGATAAGAAAAGAAAAAAAAAAATCAGTCACTTCTTCTCCATCGCGAATGTCCGTTTCATCCGAACCGGAAAAAAGTTCTTTCTACTTCACCATTTCATCCACCTATCTCTCTCTCTCTCTCTGTTTATCTGTGCCTGAAATATAATTCACCACTGTATATAGAGTAGAGGTTATGTCAACACGAACGTAGCTCGAAGCGAATACGAGCGATTGAATGCACATCTTTTTGAATAATCAGGGTTTCCCGCGTTTTTATGGGATAACTTACTTGGTGCACCGTGTCCGTGGCACGGGATCCTTCGTTTCATAACCACTTGTTATCCGCGACGATCACCTACCGTCGTCCATCTCGGCTCGCGTTGCAAGCAAGTCCGTGGAAAACATGGTCCGTGGAAAATCGCAAAAGCAGGCTCGTTCGCGGCCGCGAGGTGGCCACGAAACGAGGTTAACGGCACTCGAGACGCTCCACAGTGGCAGCCTCCCTCGAACGCGTCGCTTCCCGATCAGCTGCACTAACCTCACAAATCAATCGGTATCGAAGGAAATGAGAGAGAGAAGAGAAAAAAAATGAAATAAATTATGAACACAGTCACCGTAGAATCACGAGTGCAGTCGTGAACCGAAGCTTTTTTCTTTTTTTTTCTTTTACCAACAACAGGGACGGCACTTATGGTAACCCACTTTCGAGCGACATCGTTTTTTACCCTTTCGTTTCGTATCCAGAATGTTGGGTATTATTGTCGGGTCGCGTTACTTCCGCTAGCTTCCACGGTACACCGATCTAGGGTTTTTACGATCACTGTCAATTTTCAACACTGTCACTAGGACACCAGCTGACAGCGTCGAGATGGTGACGATGAAAACAGCCCCTCGCCTTGCTCCATTTAAACGACGATTTTACCGTATCATTTTATTCCCAATTACCTCTCGAAACACCGTTCCCGATCGTCCCTCGAGTCGGCGGATAATCTCGTGGACATCGCGAAGGATACTTCACGAGGGCATACGCGAAAACAGCGAAGGTACGACGGGAATGGTGCACGCATCGAATAACCTCGCGCAGCCAAAATGGTGGACGACACTCCCGTGTTCCGCTTTAACACGATCCCCTTCGCGGCCTCGTCCACTTCCCTCGGTTAACAACCCCCGTGTGGACAGCTTCGAAATCGCGCGAAGGGTAGGCACGAATCTTGAACGGGATCACAAATTATCGAGACCGTAAAATGGCGAAGATTGAGATCGAGTCGAGTGCACTGGAACCGCCTTTTGGTGCACAACACAACACACTACCTACGCGTTAAGTGGACCACAAGGCTGGCGGGTCGACGCGTTCCTTTTCACGGATTCGCGTCCCTTCACGGCTGATCCCTAACGACGTGGGCACGGTTTGTAGGGTCGAAAAAGGGCCTCGGCCCGGTCACCTGATCGTGGCGTGGAAAAAAGCTCCACGAAAGACGACAGCTTCGAGAGGCTCCTCGTTGAGGGCATTCCAGCGCAGGCAGGGTGGACCGAAACGAACACCGCGCCATCTGACGATTAAACCGCTGACCCGACGACTGCCATGGCCGCGCAACCAACCCTTGCGTCAATAACAATTGAATGACATAGAACGCGTGTCTCGCTGCACCGTTCGCGTCGCCCCACGCCAACGTCATTCTTTCGCTAGCCGATACTCCTCATGTCTGGAAAAAGAGTCGCCGCCGGAAAATCGAAATGTTCTTCCTCGCGTGTTACAACGCACGATATTCGACGGTATTTTCGTTAACCGCGAACGGAACTACAACTAGCGGCTGCGCGATTCGAACTGAGCGCAGCTTCGCATGGGAACCGCGACCCGAACACGGAAATACACGAACCCGAACGAACGTAGCCGAAACCCGAGTCTCGTCGAACGTCGAGACACCTGGAAACGATCTATCGAACTTTCAACGCGACTTCCTGTCGATTTTAAGGGGTGAAAAGTATCCTATGGTCAGACAGCGACCTATTCGTTCAATAAGTGGATCAAACCAATGTAAACCACGTCGAGGCAAACAGAATAATATCGATAAAAGGTTGAGAATCAACCCACTGATGTTTACTCGTCGTGCACTACATCGTAAAATCATTTCTAACGATGCTTTTAACCCTTTGATTGATTTTAAACGGGCTACTATTTGTTGTTTGTATCGTTATTATAACCGACACTTTTATAATTGATCTGATAACTCTGTTACTGAATATTTACTATCAATTTTGTATCAAATACGCTTGAATTTAAAAATTTTATCTTATACCTTACCTGGCGATTAAACAACAAATGAATCGTAAAAGTTGTTGAAAATATTCCTAGTGTAATTAGCAAAAGAATAAAATACTAATTTAGTAAAAATTTACGATCACATTATGTTGTAATGTTCAAAATTCCAGTCCCTAGTTTCCTCTTCTTCTTCTCCCATGTCTACAGGAATAGATTCCTCCACTTCCGGTATCTGGAACATCGCCTTACATTAATTTTTTAATCTTTTAATTATATCTTATTTACTGATTTACACGTACTGGTTCTCGGATCACTGATCGAAGATAATTAAGCTCTTGATCTTTCTCTAATCGCCATTGATTACGCTCTTGACATCTTTTATAATGCATCAACCAAAATCCAAGGTAATTAACTGGGTCGTACGGTTTCTTCGCGACCAATTCTTTAATCGCCATTTTCAGTGGTAATTGCAAATGATCCCTCAACCATTTACCATCAAAAGACAATTCTATTTCATCCATGTCACTAGAAGAACATTCTGATTCATCCTCTTCCTCTTTGATAGGTTCTTTCAAAATTAAATTTTTATTTTAATAAAAATTAATAGTTTTATATAATTTCATTAACTTACCAATCCCGGGTTTTATCGTTTCTTCAACCTGCTTATCATTATCTTTGTCCTTATTGTTTTCAGAAGAATCCTCAACTTTACCATTTATTTCATCACATATTTCTAAGTTTGTTGTATAAGGTAAACATGTCGGTTGGTGTTGATTAGGCATTAAATTTGTCATCAACAGTTCTTTCAAAGTTTCTTTGCTGATGAAATTATAGAACGTTTTAAATGTTGAAACTCTGTGTTCCGTGTATTGAAAGGGAAAATTTTACCTTTTACCTTCCGGGTCATGGATTCTTCTTCCAATTTTTTTCACAAAAACATTCAAAGGATCCGGGAGACTCGTATCGCTCGCCAATACCTGTTTCTTTTCCATTTTGTACAATTTTTATCCTGAAACGAGTAAAATAATTAAAGCAAAGAAAATAAAACAACTTGAAATCGTAGTTTAATTGACAGTCTACGTTCGTTGGTTACACAGGGTGATCAGTGAAGAATTGTTTACTCAAAATTTTAATTGTTTTCGGAACCAATTACCGAGCTATATATGTTGCTCTATTTTTTCATTTACATTCCACTAAATATCAGAACAATATTTATCTTCAATATCTTCGTAAAAACAACTCGCTAAACAAAAATATAACAGACAAATAACAAATAAGCTATGGAAGTTTATGCGGATTTATATTTTTATACGTTTCCTCTTATATGTTTTCCCTGTATCTTTCCACATTTAACAGTGATTATGGGTATATAGCACGCTGCTATTGAATCGTGCACATATTCACGATATCCTTGCGTCAATCTTCCAAGCAACAGCAATAAATCTCAGAAAGAAACAGTGCCTTCTAATATTGTCATTTGCAATGCGCTATTTATGAGAAGATTCAGCGATAACGATGTGAGACTGTCAATCACGGCTATCCGATGTTTGCGTAACCCGCTGTTTTTCAGTACGCTTACGCCTTTGGTCTGGTTAGAAGCAGAAAAGGATAATCAAAGATAAGAAAAATATGACCGTAGGAAATTTATGAGATAAAGATTTTTTATGGGCCCCGGTTGAAGGCAAACACGTGCGACACGCATAGTGATCAAATTCTTACAGGCGGCGCATAAATATATCAGGGATCTTATCGAAATGCAAATCATCCGATCTCAACTAGGATCTTCCTGGTAAGTTCCATCAAGATTGCATGAGTCAGTTCGGGAAACATCTCACAAACAGGCAAGCCAGCTGCTGCGTCTTGTGCATCTCGTTTAACAGTCAAAATCGAGATGCTCGATGAGAATCCGAAGAAGGGTCGGGATAAAAGGATTACGGTCTGGCCGCAATGGCTGGCTGCATGTACACGTGAGTATTGAGGGGGCTTCAAATGATCCCTTTTCCTTTCATCTAACGGTGACGATTCTCGATTCTCCATTAATCTTAATTGATTCAACGATCGCTTTCAATCTACAGTAAATCTGTAACAAAAGTATAATCATTATTACATGTAGTATTTGTTGAAAGTTTACACGCAAGATGTTTGCTCGACGTGAAACTCGATTAAGATGCTCTAATATAATTGCTGGAACATCGAGATGCACCGTGTCCCGTACATCAAGGCGGTTGTAGAGATGTGCCTATGAATGAGCTAATGAAATTACTCTCGCATCCGTTGACGCAACTGTTTCATGGCCGTTTGTGACAGTCAGCTTAGTTGTTATCGGAAGTGGCCTCGCGAATGGCTGGGCATCACCGTACTTGGCTCAACTGACATCAACGGAAGCGAACATGCCTTTGAGACTGACAGACACCGAAGCATCCTGGGTGGCGTCCCTTTTAAATCTTGGCCGGTTCACCGGCGCTTTGCTCAGCGCACTGTGTCAAGGTAAAGTCCTTTCTTCGTTGTCGGACAGAAAATTTGTCTGCCAAGCTCCATTAGCTGTTTCCCCTAACGACAATGTATAATTACAATTTATACCTATCTGGTAAACTCGCAGAAATTATTCCATTAAGAATTACCAATTTGTTCCATTTAAAGGGTTTGTTTTGGTATAAATCCATCGTTGATCAGTTCGATCCTCTCTTCCAGCCCACGATCGAGTGACCAACCAAGGCAAACAATCCAGAATTAATTCAGAATTCGATAAGAACAAGGCAGCCACGACTCAGGACTCGTAGAAAAACGTGATACAAAATCATGGTACGTGGAAGGAAGATGCAAAGCAATGAAATAAAAATTTCTTTGATCCAACAACAAGGGATCGTTAGTTCTGAGTTGCGGTGATCTTGTTCTCAGGGAAATTGTATCTTTAACGCGTTGCAACCTCGTCTTCAGAGTACATCGGACGAAAGAAGGTGCTTCTAGTCAGTGGAATACCGTTGGCTGCAAGTTGGGTGTTCAGTATCTACGCCACGTCGGTCTCGTGGCTTTACACGTCGAGATTCTGTTCAGGAATCGGCTCTGGAATGATATGGTGCGCTATATCCTTGTATTTAAGCGAGATCGCCGATCCCAGCATCCGAGGATCACTGGTAAATCTTTATTAATTTCTTCGTTTCCGCAATCTATGAAAAAATTAATAAATTTAAAAACATGCTTCGTTTATTGTTTCGCAATAGTCAAAATAGTATTTTTTTTTTCATAGACAGTTAAATCGATTGATAAAAATTATATTTGTGGTCACGTCCTCAGATATCCTTTAACGTGAACGCATCTTCCGTTGGTATGTTCCTGGGAAATGCAATGGGTCCTTATCTGTCCATGGAGATGTTCGGGTACGTGAGTCTCGTCCCGAATATCCTCTTCATAATCCTCTTCAGCATGATACCCGAATCACCCTACCATTACCTTCTGCACGGGGATATCGACAAGGCCGAGGCATCCCTGAAGTGGTTCAGGCGAGAAACCGATGTGAAAGCCGAGATCCGGGAGCTTCAGGAATTCGTCGAAGGGGCTGAAACTAATATTTTCGTCAAGTTAAAAGAGTTCCTTATGCCGGGTAATTACCTTTAGCTAAGCGTTTAATTTTATTTTTTATCTTACATTTTTGTATTTTCTTTTAGATAATTTCAAAAAAGCTCTGATCGTGATCGGCCTCTATGTATTTTCTTACATGACCGGATACAACGCTCTCAACTCTTACGCGGAAATAATCCTCACAAGAAGTAAAATTACTATAACACCCAGCCTTGTAGTGACGATCCTCGGGTTTTCAACGATTTTGGCGGGTTTAGCAGCAACTTTACTGGCTGATAAATTTGACAGAAGATTCTTTTTAATCATCTCCGGCGTAGGGACGTCTATGTCGTTGGCATTGTTAGGTCTACATTTTCATCTTCTTTCTTTGAACTATAACGCGGCAAGTCTGACATGGTTACCTATATTTTCTATGTTATTGTTCAATTTATCCATGTCCTCGGGGCTGCAAGCAATTCCAAGTACTCTGTTAGGTGAAATGTTTAATTCTAACATGAAAAATATAGCATCGATGTGCGTGAATACTAACAATTCGTTGATGTCCTTCACCAGCGCGAAAACTTATCAACCCTTTGTAAACTTGGTTGGCGAAAAGTACGTGTACTGGACTTATGGCATTTGCTCGATATTCTCGGTACCATATGCTCTCTTTTTGATCCCGGAAACCACGGGTAAGAGTCTCTTGGAAATTCAACAATCTACGAAAAAATAACAGAACTGAATTAAATTTAACTTGTATGGTAAGGAAGGAAGTCTACAGGGCCGGCCCCGAGATTTTGGGGGCCCGAGGCGAGCTCCAAAAAAGGGCCCCTTCACATATATGACATAAAAAAAGTACCTCAAATAAAATTTATAAAATTAACATTAAAGCTTGTATAACTAATTTAGATTTCCATTTACATCGATTAATATTCAAGTAAACATTACTCTTCTTGCATTCTTAGACGCTAAATCGTCTTATGGGAGCCCTGGAAACTACTTTGCTCTATGCTATCCCTGACTGCAACCTATGATTCCGCTCATGCTATAAAACAGTCTCCATCGAAACATTCGAATATACATGCTAATTATACAACATTTGTTAGCTCAAAAAGTAATTTGTAATTAATTATAAGAGTAAAATTTATTTCATTTTCGTACCGGATATTCTTGTTGAATCGAAAGTAGATGTTGCCTGCAATAGTCAGCCTAAAAACCTTCGTCAATTGCAGATTACTGAAAACTCGTATGTATTAACTAATTAACTTATTACAAACAATTTATGCTCGTATACGAAACTCTGAAAACTTATCTTACTATTTTCTACGATGCAAGAAGAAAATACCGCTTATTTCCAAAACTTTTAGCGGGAAATTGTCCGAACCTCTTGCTCTTTCCATAGCTGTGGTAGCACTGACGTTTGTCACGTGGTTTCCGCTGGAAACTTCAGCGCGCTTAAAATTTGAATTTATCAAGTCAATTTAACCTATCGTTTAACGATATTAAATTAGTCGACAAATATTTAACTATTTTGTAGCGCTTCATCTTGTTACTTATAATTCATCAATGAAGAGAACACGTGCGACAAGTTCTGCAAAAAAAGAAAATAAAGATGATTCCAATAATGATGAAGTGGAAACAAAACCAAAGGTTTGTCAATAGTACAGCCCATGTAGATTTTTGATAATTAAACTAAATAAATTTTTGCTAGGATTCTGAACAACATTTAGTGGTTGAAAATTTACAAGATGAGAAACTGAGTGACATGTTAGAACCATCATCAGAAGATGTTAAAATTTCTGATCAAAAACAGAAAAGTAAACTTAACTTAAAGAGTCTAAAAGATAGTAAGTCAATTTAAATAATATTATGTAGAAGCTGAGTCATTTTAAAACTAACATTTAAACATTAGCTTTAACATTTATATAATTTGTTAATATAGGAAATAAGAGAAGCAATCAAGAAGAGTTGGAACCAAATACGCTTCCTTCAAAAAATAAAGTTAGAGCAGTGGTAGATCTTAAAATGATGCAAGCAGAACTAAAACAGTTAGAGGATCCACCAACAACTGCATGGGAGAAGGAACTATGTTCCAATAGATTGCCATATTCATTCTTTGATTCTCCTTGTGAAGAATTAGCTCAAAATTTGTTAGGTACTCTCAATAGATATTTTCTTTTCTTAGTCTTTTACAAATGGATTATTATCACTATTAATGTACGTATTACATTTAGGAAAAGTATTGGTTCGTTGCCTAGACAATGGAACTATTTTAAAGGGTAGGATTGTTGAAACAGAAAGTTATTTAGGAACAATGGATAAGGCATCTCATACATATAAAAATAAAGTTACTCCTCGTAATATGCCAATGTACATGCCACCTGGTACCATATATGTGTATATGACATACGGAATGTATCATTGTTTCAATATATCTAGCCAAGGTGAGTCGAAATCCCTAGCAATTATTTAAAAAAATATCTAGGTGTAGTATATGTAGTTTGAAATAATTAAAACAAAATATAACAAAGCGTACCTAGTACTTCAGTAAGAAATATTTAGAGTCAGGAGGATATGTGCTAATTAAAGCAGTGGAACCTGTGCTTGGTCTTGATTATATGGAATTACTAAGAAATATGAAGTATGAAAAAAATAGTAGAGAAAAGAGAATTGTGAAAAATGTACAATTCTTCAAAAGACACGAGCTTTGTAATAGTCCATCCAATATTTGCATAGCATTTGTCATTGATGAAGATAACTTCAACCAGAAAAAAATTTATGAATGTAATAATTTATGGGTAGAATATGATCCTTACATAAAATCAACTACTATTGTAGCAGCAAGTTCCCATAATGATTTCGAAGAAAAAATGTGCAGATATTATGTGTTAGGAAGTTCTAGCGTCAGTCATAGAGATATTAAATCTGAAGAACATGCTTATGTTATTTAAACATCTCTTCCTTTTTCATGTGCAATGTTCTGCCACATAGAAATCTCATGGTAAGATTTTAGGTGAAGGGTGTGCTGTTTTGATAAGAGCTGTTGAACCCTTGGAGGGTATGCAATATATGAGTAGTCAACGAACTTCAAAAGGAACATCAAGTACATCTAAAAGGACACAGAAAAATTTTAAGACACACGAATTGTGTAATGGCCCATCAAAGTTATGTATGGCTTTTCAACTCCATAAAAGTCACAGTAAATATTCTTTGTGCACTTGGAAAGGTTTGTGGATTGAAGATGGTGACGTAGAGAATATCGAAATCGTGAAATGTCGTAGAATAGGAATAGATAACTATGGAGAAGAATGGACCAACAAGCCATTGCGATATTACATTTACGGTAACAAAGCCGTGAGTAAACGAAACAAAGATGCTGAACTACTATTAGGACTAAATTAAATTATAATCAATGTAATGTGAACCAAAATTTGTTTTTTTGAGACGATTTAATATATTGCACGAATTTATATTTCTATGATCCTATGGTGTTTTCGGATTATTTCAATTTTTTATTTTTAAATTTACAAATAATTATAATACATATATAAAATAAATAGTTTTCACGTTCAGTAAGATGTAATATATACTCTGTTTATTACAAATAATAATCGTGATAAATAAATGTAACATGTATGTTTTACATGTTTTACTCTGTTTGTTTTACAAACGGGCAATGCTTTGTATTAATCATGCCCATTCCTTCATTACTCTTTCGTAATCTTCTTCCTCGATAAACGGTTTGTCTATAGACCTGTAACATTTTAACTTAGTTGCTGTTAAAGTAATTGTTTATATAATCTCGTAATCAAACTCACTCTATCATAAGTTCTCCACAATATAAACATTCGGATGCTACTAATTCATCAATGTCAGCCTTAATTTGATCTTTTGTAGATAAAGATACAGATCCAACAGATGTTGTATCTTCGGGTCTGTTTGAAAGAGCGGTAAGTTGTCTTTGGAGATCAGCTAGCTTTGTCCTCTGAGTCATTGATAGCATAGGTGTTAATGCAGCTACGAGACAATCGCTATGAAATCTATGTCCACAGGGAAATACATAAAACGGTCGCAACAATAACTGAACATCACAACTATTGCACGTGTCTTTTGCATGTACATATGTGCACCTAAAAAAAAGTTCAATTATATTATCAAAATATTTATTATTTTCCTATTTACCTTGTTCTAAACTCCTGTATATCTTTTCTAATAAGTTCAGCTGCTTTTGTTGCTTCCTGCATTTCTTCCTTGAGATCTTGAATATGCTGATTATATTCCTATCGATTTCGATTAAAAATAAATATCTAATTGCATTTATTTAACAAATGATTAAATATTATATGTACAACTATTTCACCTGTAATGAATTGCAAATAGCATCTTCAAAGTGATCAATAGTGACAAAGTCTGAAAAAAATGGTAATATATCTTCTATTCTAACTATATCACAATTTTGTAAGAATTCCATCGCTTGTTTTATATCGTCCTTTTCTCGAACCACGTGTTCAGCTAAAAATAAAACGAGTAAGGATTGGATCAAACTAAAAGATTTACTATACTTATATCTTCAATAATTACCAATTTTTAACCATAATTTTTTCCTTAATTCGTGATCATGATCGGGAGGCATAGAAGCTATTTGTTTTGCAAGATCAACGCTAATTGTCAAAGCTAAATCGACTGCGGTTGTCCAAAGTCCAAGCAAAGCAGACAATTGAACACAAGCTTCGGTTAAACCAACTTCTTGACATAATCGTAACGCATAATGCACATCATAATGTACCATATTTATATCCTGTCCTAAAAGAAAAAATGAAAATGTTTCTGTTTCGCGCATTTCTTTTTCAATGCTTAATAAGTGTAGTCTGGAAACTACCTTGAGAACTGATATAACGCATTACTTCATCTTGTTTATAACGAGCATATAACGATAATAGAAAATTATGAATTGCTTGTTCTTGACAACTTTGTTTATACACACAAAATTCTAAATATCTGATTACTTCTTTTGCCTGCGATAATTTAACAAATTCATTAATTATTAAGGCTCCTAAATCAATGATACAAGTCGAAAATGTAAATTGTAATATCTTACATGCTTTTCATCGCTATTACAAGATACTAAAGCTGGAAGAAGCTTGGATGGTTTTAATAAAGAACCTTGTGATATTAAAGCCGTCACCGCAGGACGTGGCAACTCTTGTAAAAGAATACCCGAAAACTGATAAAATAGATCCTTATTATTTTGACTCTTTAAGACTTCAAGGGCTTCTAAATAATTATTTTTATACAAATGCTGGCGTATCACTTCTTCATAGTTACAGTGCATTATAGTTAAACGAATAAGATGATCTTTATCACCATGGCTCGCCAGCAAATCGTATATAGTACTGCGGTTTCGTTTTATACATTCCTAAAATGATAATAACCTTCTATGTATAAATAAATTTTTTTTTCAAAATAATATAATATTATTTAATACCTCAACTTTTGGTATTGCAAGAAAACTATCAAATTGTTTCTGCAATTCTAAGTACTGAGTATCGTGTAAGTATGATGTATTACTACTTCGTAATACACCCATTTGATTCATAAATAATTCGGTTACCCATACAACAATCATAGTTATTTGCGTTTTGTCTTGTGTTTTCAGTCCTTCAAGTTTCTAAACATAAAATATATATGTTCATTTGCACTATGTTAAATATTTACATTCAACTAATGTACCTTTTCAAGGAATGTTTTTAAAGCCTCTATTTGCCATTCTTGAAGAAACTTTAAAGAAATTTCTTCAAAAGATGAATGAGTATCAGCATAGATAAGAGCACTTTTTTCGTACCTATAAAATAGCATTTAAAAACAAGTTAATTAAGGCGTGAAAAGTACACAATTAAAACTTTAAAATAAAACTTACTCTTTATTTTTAAACAGCATTTCTGCTTGTTTTACAAGTACCTGATCTATATGAGCTGGATTATTTTTACAATATTGTTTTGCAAGCTCGAATTCACCTTTATCAACATAAACCTATAAAAAGTAGTTTATGTATTTATTAATTTAAAATAAAACATTTTATTAAATCTATCGAATTACCTGCCAAACGTTTCTATCTTCTTTATTAACTTTGTATTTGAATACTGCTCTTTCACTGTAAGTCCAAACAGAACGAGTTACGTAATCTTTAGTAATGTTAAGTAATTTTCCAACGGCCTGTGAACATTAAAGTTATTTTTTCAATTGTATCACTCAAGACGATAATTTATTCTGATTTATTCTCCGTACGTACGTCGTTGTAGATATCTTCGAATATCAGTTCCTGATTCAAAAGAGATATTCCTTTTACACGATCTGCGTATAGTAACAATCCATGGAATTCTGTTAAAACAAATGATAACGGTACTGTCGTTGTTTGTGATATATTGGTTCCCATGAGACTTGTTTCAGGACAAGACAACATTTGTTGATTGATCAACACGTTTTTGGGATCTACTTTTGCATCAACCTAAATAAATGGAAATTACATAAAACTATATTGTATTTGCTGTATAATAAATAGTAATGAAATATTACCTGAGCATATAATATACCAGTTTCGGTTAACCAACCAAATGATTTTGGTAAAGCACCAAGTGCAGGATAATAAAATTGCATTTTAGAATAAGACAAGGAACTCATTACTTCGTTAAAACTTTCTACAGAAATAATACTTTTGTGATTATATAGAAATTTGGTTTAACTAAAAATGCCTGAGATGTACAATTGTTTACCTTCAACGTTTAAATATTTATTAAATACTTGTTGCAACAAAGGCTTTTCTTCTGGGTTTGGTACCGATCCGATATACTGATAAATGCGCATGAGGGTAGTAACAATAATCACGTACTTATCGGTATTTGGTATTTTATGAAACTCCAAACCGGTAATTGGTGGCTTACTATCTTTACCTATATCAAATACCTACAATATTTAACAAATTATGTATGATATAATAATATTGTACATCATTTGTATGATAAAATATGTGTATGGTATGAAAATAGCCCAACAATAACAAGCATAGTATAATCAAAAACTTCGAACTTGTGATAAATTTTTCAATTTTTCACAACATTTTTATTCAAAATTTCAGAGACACATGTGTGTATTTAAAGCCTACAAACATTTTACACGTGCGTAAAGTATAACTTCTAACTCACCAATCCTTCTACCTCTTTAGCACCATAAAGAGGTAAATAGTTAGGAAGCTTTGGACATAATTAATAGTGGTATGAGGGAAATGCTTCTACTATCATGAAATGATAATGTATACTGACAATGATATTGAGAATTAGTTTTTAAATTTCATTTATACCTGTCTCCAGTATTGTTCCAAACTTGTGTTAAATATTTTATCACCGTCTAAACCAATTTCTGTTTCAAAAATGAGACCTTTCAAAGTTCCTAAAAGAATTGGACCTGTGGTGGTCTCTGAAGAATTTAAAAAATTCCATCCAACAGCAGTAATTTCGTGACCTTTGAATTTGCTTGCCTAAATGAATAAATCTTTAAGATTATGATTCTTTTAATGTGATATATACAATACATACATTTTTTGTTGTATTTACTTATCTCATTTACCTGCTTTAGTTTTGTTGTTTTTCTGTGCAAATAAAATAATTCAGGTGCAGGATTATCTTGGGATTTTGAAACTAATGCTATCAATAAATGATTACCCAAAGGATCAAGAAACATCCCTGACATTTTCATATTCACTGCATACTTAGATATATCAATTTCTGAAATGATTGTTCCAAATCAAATTATATTTTTATATCATTTCTATTATGAAGAAATACCTTCCGGTGTATCTGGGTGTTTCATATCAATTCGAAGGAGAATATTATTAGCCATAGCAATAACAATGATATTATTATTAACAACAAGATGTAAAATTTTGTCAGGTGGTAAAAAATTAACTTTTTGCTTTATAAAAATTGGCCCATCATCTTGTAATTTCATTTGGATGAATCCTGCTGTACTCTAAACATGGTTAAGTAATATTAATTGTTATATGTTTATATCATAGTATTCATTGTATACATATATAAAGATACTCACAATATCAGGACGTACCAGTGGTACATAAACTTGTTTGGATCTTTGAGATGCCTGCTCATACTGGTCAAACATCGATGTCATTTTGCTGATTTATTTAATCTAAACTCTCTATTATAATAAGAAATACATGAAATTGGTTTTCTTTACAATTCAAATATAAAATGAGCACACTGTTACATTGTGCTTATACATTATATTACAATGTAACATTAACATTATTTTAATTTGAGCAATAATGTGCTTTCATGATCTTACACAACAAAGCTTTTCTGTAATATTTTACATATAAAAATTAACTTAAATTTTTACATATATTGCTATGAATAATATTCATATATATGGCACATTACTTTTCAATAAAGTATTTTGAATATTCCACAAATATCAGACAAATTTGTAATGTTTTGTGACATTAACAACTGACAGTAATTACTTCAGCTGCTTCAGCTATTGGTAGCAGTGATCCAGGTGGACATTTCAAAACATCTCAAAATTACATAGATAAAAGTTAGATTTGCCAAATATTGAAGGACTACATTTATCTGATGTGTCGTGATTACAATATTTATGGAAGTATCGATGACATGATATATATTCATCGCATAATAAATGTTAGAATTGCATCATGTAAAATCGTTAAATAAACAGGTTAATCAGTTGACAACACTTGTCGCGCATGCGTCATTATTTGTCAAAGATGTTCAAGATGAAATAACTTTCTTTGTACGTACAAAATTGTTACTTGATAAAGACAATTTCGAGAAGCTATAGTAACAGGACACGTAATGAATCATGGAAAATTTCACTTTTTGTACGCTGTAAACATTTTGGTTATAATACCACGTCAGTTTTTTATGCTATAGTCACTGTGGTGGCGACAGTGATAGCAACAAAAGAGGTTATGAATATAGTTAATACAATACTGACGGTAGTAATGGCGGTAGTCACGATGGTATAGTGATAAAGAAATGATATGTTCATCACATTTATAAAAAGTATCTATTCGTTGACAGTAGAATTTTCAATGTAAAAAGTAATGTAAACCTTTAATTTAAAAAATGAAGATTTGTATAACGTGCATCTATTGGACATTACTTTTTATATCAGTTGCTTCCAGGCAAGTACTTTGTCTTTTTCTTCTTGTACCGACAAATCACATACACACACGTAACTTAACTATTCAAGAAGTTTACCACGCGCTTCATTTTCATAGTATTAGTAAAGCATATTGCTAAACCGGTGTGTCTGATCTAAATTTACGAAAATGGAAAAAAGTATAAGGTTATTATTAAATGTTCTTTTACCATTACGTTTTTTAATATTGAAGATATCAGTGGGTGTTGATGGATTTATTATTCCAACTTTTCGAATGTATGGATTTTAAACATTTAATAATTACGATTTATATTTGTTATATTTTAAGTTTTAACAACAATTTGTTCACCCATACAGAAATGTCAATTTAATGTATACTATTACGATATAAATAAACTATTTCCTTTTTATAAATCTCATCTTTGTATGTGTTTTTTTCAATCGAATTTTTAAATAATAATGATATATAAGAAAAAAAAACATTCTGTATTTAATATTTAAAATACTATATATACTATCCTCTCATGGTACAATATTTTCTTTTTCCAGTGCATTGCTGTTTATTATAGTAGCTTGTGAAAATGCACAAACTAATTATTATTTACCTCTCAAAAAGAATGAAACTAAAGAGATTTATGATAATGATACATTGGATCATATAGAGGATAATAGTATAGAGACATCTAATATAGCACTTGCCAGGCTAAAGAATTCAAAAAAGTTGGACATCCCTTATGAAGATCATTATTATGAAGTAAGAATGAAAGAGGATAAGGTATTATAAATTATGTACCAAGTTATATCATTATCAAGAAACATGTGACTTATTTAAATGAAATTTCAGGAGAAATTTGTAAAAAATGCTATTGACTTTGAAAATGTTATAACAAGTAAAACAAGGAGAAAAGAGAATCCATATAACAATCCAGACATTGTAGCCGAGAGTCTTACTCAACAACCTAATCTATCCCAGGGGTAAGTGTTTATTATCTGTAAACATTATACAAGAGAATCTTATTACTTTCAGTTACATAAAGCATGTTTTTCTTGAATAGTCTCTTTTATAAACTAAATTTCAATGCTTTGTGTGCAAGATTCTGAAATAAAAATCGCTCTTAATTTACTTGACAAACCGAAGTAAAATCCTTCAGAGTTTAAATAGGTGAGAGTCTACAGGTGAAGCCTTCTAAGTAGCTTGCTATCCCTTTTGGCAGATCACGTTATCAACAGATTGTAGAGAAACATTCAATTGAATTACAATAATACAAATAGTACACTATTTTATCTATTACCAAATGAACAAATATAATCACATATAAATGTTTTTTAACAGAATTTCTGAAAGTGAACAAGCAACAGTTTTACCTTTGGTGGACACAACTGTGGCAGAATTACAAAGTTTAGCAGAACCGAAGCTAAATGCAGAATTTTCAAGAACGAGAGCATTCGGAAAGAATTCATCGTTATTAACAAAGAATGCTAATCTTGGACAGACGACAAAAAAGGAGCAACAAGAAATTTCACCTAGCACGCAAACTCCCTCACCGCCGAGTATTGACGAAATCAAGGAAACGACTAACGGGACGGATATTCTCCAAGATGAATCTTTGTTGTTGCCAGATTCGGTTACAGAAGAGATACCAGAAGTAGTAGTAGTAGTGAGAGCCGAACAGGGTCCTATTACCACCGATGAATTAGAATTTAAACAGGAAGACGATGTTAAAGCGCTTCCCGACGAGGTACCTAAAGTTGATGGCACGTTTGCAACAACTCCAGAGTTAAGTGATGCCGAGGCCAAAGCTCGTTTAGTAGGGGATAACAGGGACGAAGCAGCTACGGTTGTTCTTGGCGAAAGTATCGTACCAGTGGGATCTACGAATCCTCACGAGGATATTCCATCTTTCAGCGAATGGACACAGAAGAGACTAGAAGAGGCTGAAAAGAAGAAAAGTAAGTATTTGAATTAGTATGATCAATTACGATAATTAATTAAAATATAAACCATTACTCTTTTTATAGCGCATCCAAACGCGTCTGTTCAAAATGCAGGAACCCCGACAAGGGGAGTCGGTGGCATGAAGGTTCGTTCAAAGAACTATGCTTCCCCAGATTGTGGAGCTAAAATTGTAGCGGCAAATCCGGAGGCTCGAAGCGCCAGAAGCGTGTTAGTATCCACCAGAGACGAATATATGTTGAATACGTGTACATCAAGGATATGGTTTGTCGTAGAACTTTGCGAAGCGATTCAAGCGAAGAAAATCGAACTGGCCAATTTTGAGCTTTTCAGTTCATCGCCAAAGGACTTTTCCGTTTACATTAGCGATCGTTTTCCTACGAGAGACTGGAGCCTCGTTGGTCAGTTCACCGCGAAAGACACGAAGGATATTCAAAGTTTTCCTTTACAGCCGCATCTATTTGGAAAATTTATCAAGATAGAACTTCACACCTATTACGGATCTGAACATTTTTGTCCAATCTCTTTGTTTCGCGCATACGGTACCAGTGAATTCGAGGTTTTAGAAACGGAAACGGAAAATCAAATCTCGAGAGAGACGAGTACCGATGTAGACGATGAAGAGGACAGCGACGAGGAGGAAGTTCTGGATGCTGAGACTGGCGAACCACCGAGAAATTTATTTGGCAGCGCCAGAGACGCTGTATTGAGTATCATGAAGAAAGCGGCTGAAGTATTGGTGAAATCCAGTGAATTGACTGGCAACAATATTACAAAAATCCAACAGAGTATGGACAGTGGAAATATATTTGAGAATTCTTTCCTTAGTTGTACTACACCAAGGTATACAATCCTTTGTGATAATTGTTCGGATCAGAAATTCGCTAAAATCTTCCAATTAGTAAGTTGTAGAGAAAAACAACTGAATCAATTGTTAAAGATTGATCTTGTAAATAGAACCTTGAGACAAAGTGGACTTTGCAAGGCTCATGGGGTAGGAGTGGAAACTTTTGAGAAGAAAGAAATGAAAGAATTTGGTGAGAATGTAAAAGATGTGGAATATAAAGATTCGACGAAGAATTTTCAGTTGACATTCATTACATCTATATTTAAATCCGAATACATTGCTGCGCTCTGCAACGTATTAGCGATAAAAGAACGAAAAATGGTGATGAATACAAGCCACGAAATACCGTTTAACAATTTCAAAGATGCCGTTAAAGAAGATGTACCGGATAAACATAAAGAAGACTACAGCGAGGATGGAATTAAAGCTTTTCAACATGCATCAACTACGTGTTCTCCCAGCTCGAACGTGGACAGTTCAAAATTAGAATCTTCTAAAGTATTTCAAAAAAACACTCAAGAACCGCCTAACAAAGAAGTGAAATTTACAGGTGCGCCTATTGAAATTTTCTTAAGTACCGAAAACATAAACCCAGAAATAAATCCAACGAAGACCTTTGAGAAAGAAGAGATAAAGAATGATTCATCGGTTCCGATTTTGGAATCCATTAAAGGTAGTATCGAGGAAACGGTTCAGGCTGATGTATTGACCACTGATTCCATACCTTTGAAGGATGGACAGCACTCTACTTTGAAAGTTGAAAAACCATTGACTACTTCTGGCATTTCTATTGATAATTCACCTCCGATCACTGTGTCTGTTCCGACAACCACTATTGAGAGTACCGAACTTCCAAATGATGAGATAGGATCTGACGTAGAGCCTTTGGAATTTGCTGGCATGCAAAATAAAGTGGAACCTTTTGATCAGGAAGGAAAACAAGGACAAGCAGAGTCAAATGTAGAGCAGGATGTTAAGTTACCTCCTCAAGATCCATTGATCGATACTTTGTTATCTGATTTGAAGGATTTGGAAGGAGAAGCGCCGCATATTCAGAACGAGCCTGCTGCGAGTGCTTCTGTGATACAATTAGCAACAAATACCATGCCACAGAAAGAATCTGTTTTTCTCAGACTGTCCAATAGAATTAAGGTAAATGTTTATTTATAATATTATCTATAATGTTTTATATTATTCACATTATTGTTTTTAGGCGTTAGAAAGGAACATGTCATTGAGCGGACAATACTTAGAAGAATTAAGTCGTCGGTATAAAAAGCAAGTTGAAGAGATGCAAAGATCACTCGAACGAACGGTATCGGCGATGAACGAGGAGACACGAAAAAGAGAAGAACGCGAGTCAAAGAGAGCAGAAGAAATTGCCATATTGAGAGAGGAGCTTGCCGATCTTTCAAATTCGATGAAAAATCTTCTGTACGACCGTGATAGTTGGCGTGGAAAGCTCTTAATGATAAGTCAACATATATTACTAATGTGTTCGGAAGTTTTTGTGATATACTTATTTGTTTTATATTGCCGAAAAAGTAATAAGAGATCGCAAATAAAAGAGAATCAACTGGCGCAGAAAGATCCGGTGCGTCGGAAAAGCGCGGAAAATTTTAGTTCGCATACGAGAAAAACGAAAAAGCGACGACCAAGCGAAATAGCTTCTCACATTTCGGGTACGTATCGTGAGTTAATGATAAATGATAAATCTCAGGAAACTAAGAAGGAAAAGAAAAAGAAACGTAAGAAAGGTACTGTTATAAGTAATCGTCAGACAAATACCGAAGCAGAAAGAAGTTCGACAACGCGACGCAAAACTTCTCTTACAGATAATGTGGAAATTCCAATGAAAACTATTTCCTCGTATGAAACATTGCAGACGGATGATTCTCAGAAACAAATTTGCAGACGACTAAAATCTGCACCAGAGAATACAGATTGGTTTAGCAATACTGTTTGTCAGACTCAATTAATAACACCGTGTACGGAAAACTTAGAAACAGAGTCTGTAAGAAGTTCAGAATTGAGTAATTCTTGTATTGATAATTTAGACGAATCAAATTCATTGTTGACAAATATGATTCCTAAAACGATTCCTTTAAGTGAACATACTGTTAACGAATCATCCACAGATGTTTTAAATTCCAAAAATAGCAGTGTTATATTAAAGGATATCAAATTGAGTGCAACATCTTCCTTTATGAGAAGCGCTTGGAGTAGCAGAAAGAAGAGAAAAGCAAATTTAAATGATATGAATGGGGAATGGAGCCGAAATTTGGAGGATTCAGAGGGTAAATCGGTTGAAGCAAGTTCGGCCGTTTCAAAAATTCATCCCCATGCTGATCTAACGCCTACTAATGGTCTGTTATTGGATCAAAGCGATGAATCTACAAGCAGTAGTATTACATCCGTGTCGAAAAAGAGAGATAAAAAAGGTTCTAGTTTTAGGAAAATGGTGAGAAAATTTTTTTGATTAAAATAGGCTTGCCAATGATAGCTGACTGAAAAGATAGTATGAAATTGTTGGAACTTAAGATATTTTAAGCATAGAGTACGCTTGATTCGAATGCTTCGCTCGTATGAATTGTAGTGTATTGAAAACTTAAGGTTTGTTGACGTTTGCTTTAGGCTTAAGATGTGTACGCATCTCTTATACGGAACTGTTTCGCATTCATAGATGTAACTGTAACTATTAAGTAAGATATCTTTTAAGTAGAACTTATTTGAAAAATAAAATTAATTTTATTATGGCACATTAGTAAAATTACATCAGCTTGAAATTTATATGAAAACTGTCTGCTTTGCCATAAGTTTCCTTTCATCAATACTTTCAGAATCAACGTTAATCCAGTTCGTTGAATGACTATACGAGCGATCAGTCGAAAACAAAATAAAGAACGGCAACAATTTACAATAGAAAATTATGAAGGCTATATTTAAGAAACTCTTAATGTGAGTTTTAAAACTGTAATTTCAATTTACGATATGTATAAAGTGATGTGCAATATTTTCTTAATTTTCTGTTTGCAAAAAAACGACTGATTTACATAATTATTATTATTATTATTATTATGTTGTTGTTTTCATTATCATTATCGCCAACATCATCATTACCATTGTCTTCATTATGTATTGTATATAAAATCAGTTGTATTATATTTATTATGATAGAAAGCCTAACTAAAAAGTAAGATCAAAACTCACATTTGATCTAATATTACTTTTTAAAGTATGTCATACTTTTTATTATTGTAAAATGAGGTTACTTCGTAATTGAAGAAGTATAATCATAAAAGTCAATTTTTTAACTGATAGATAAAGCATATGTTCGTATAAACATAATATAATTTACATATATAACGTTAAGAGGGGCATATAATAAAAGAACGCATCAGGAAGCTATCATTTTTTGTGAATACATAAACATATTCCTTTCAGATGTTATTACATCTGACTAACTAATACTTTCACCATAAGAAAGTACTGATACTCCTTTTTGAAAGAACATTTTCATAAGTAATTATTCTTTATGATTTTAATAACAAAGAAAATGTTTCAGTTCTTTTCATTTACAAAGTAACTTCAATTTAAGATCTGTTAATTGCGTGAACATTTTGTATTTATTGTTATTTATATACACATATTTAATTTTTTACTACATATATCAAATAAACATTACTTAAGATTGATATTATAGTTAAATATAAATATAGAAATGTTAAGTTAAATATATCAATGAACTCGTTTTGTGATAGTGCAAAAAAGTTAAACGAGGTGATATATTGAAAAATAGTATCATGTTGTAAATAGAAATATGTGTCTTTATAGAACTCGATGTAACTTAATTCCCGAAATATTTATTAACGTTAATCTTTGAAAAGAAAAGAGAATAGTTATACATTTATATGTGTACAATAATTCTAATATTATAGAATTAAAAGATAACTTTTGGAATGATTGTACTTATTGTACTGCTACATTATGTAATGTAATGTAAAGTAAGCATTTTTCATATATGTATACATATTAAAAGTCCTAGTTAGACGTGTATCATTTCTAACATAATTATTTGGACCACGGAGTCGCGAATGTACAATGATTAACCCAAAGTTATAAAATGATTCAGAGACAAAATAAATACATAAAATCTAGATGCATTTATACAGTGTAATCTTTCTTTTAAAAAAAGCAGATTTATTGAAAGAAATGCTTAGAAAGAATTTGATTTTATGTAATAGGCAAAACATAATTATACAATAAAGTAGAATATGTAGTAATTAAATAACTCTCCAACAACCCAAGCAAGAAAAAAAAATAAAAATTATATTTGCTACAAAGTAAATTCATTAATTTTTAAAACCTAATTATTGTTTTATTTACTTATGATGCAATGTGGTTGAATGTTTGATACTAATTTCATATCATATACTAAATATAATGAACTTGCACTTCAAAATTCTCAACATTTATTTTCTCTTCATAGGCAGCTACACAAGTTCTTGATACTAATTGTTCTTTCATTCTTTTTACACAATTCCACTGACAGAATTCTGAAAATTCTTTAAATTTAATGTGTAGTTCTTTCTTGCCTCCATCAGGACCAGCAATAAACTCACATTTAAGTTTTTTCTTTCTGCCTTGAATACAGCATTCCAAATACCTGTAGAAATTAATTTTCTTAATAAAGTAATACTATATTTTTATAAATTATAATTACCTATAATCTGTTGCATAAAAATTGTTCAACTCTTCAATTTTAATATCACATTCTTGTCTTAACATACCAGTGATATATACATCATCTATCCAAAAGAAATTCTTAACTGTTTCACTTGCAGAAACTAACAGGTGCGCATTTTTTAAATTAGTTATATAAAACCATCCAGAAAGAAAATCAGGATAAACATCTCCTGAGAAATCTTCTTTAGTTACAAACCATTTATTGTTCGATGTTCTTATTGGTTTCATTTTTCTTAAAACATATCCAGATAGAACATTTTCATTTATTGTTCTTTTATGTAAAAATCTTAATACTTCAAAAATATTTAGCACAATATCATCATCAGTTTTTATTAAAAAGGTAGCTTTACAATTCCTGGATGCCCATTTCAAGCCCATTAAATGCTTCAGAGTAAGATTTCTATAATCTTCTAAAAAGTTTCCTTGTAATAAATCATTGTGGATTTCTGATTCTTTGAAAATATATGTCCATATATCTTTTTCTTTAGGCATTCCTAATAAAAAGACCCTCCTGATACCTAAACTTTTTAACATTTCATTTGGATACGAGTGTCTCACAGCTATTCTTTGCAAAGGATTGTTTGCAGAAGATGTGACAATCCAAATGATAAAACTGGAGCCACACATTGGTTCTGTTATGAATGTTGAAACATTTTTATCTGTGAAACTCTCATTGTATATAGATTTCAATTCTTTTTCTGTATTATTTATGAAATCTGTTTTTAGCATAGTATAAAACAAAACAAACATTGTACTAATGCTAAAGATTACAAAAATAACTCTTATTCCCATGTTTATAAAACCAAAATTAAATGATTTAAATTAAAAATATTATGGCACTTAAACATCATATTCATACTTTTACCTTACATGGTAAATTGTTTTATCAATAGTACTTCTATTAGCACTACATTCTGTATTTGTAACAGTTTAATAATACATTGAGACAATATTATATGGTAAAAAATGAATGGAATAATTTGTCATATATAGAAAATAACCTTCTCATGTCACCTATGGTTGTCACTATCCCACCTTCCCTCTCCCACTTTTCATATACCCACTGAAACTACTTATAATTTATTACTAAAACAAAAGTTACAAGTGAAAAGGATACGAAACACGAATCTTTTATATCTTTTGAAATGTATTTTACAAACATTCTTATGATATTGTTGTTGATAAATTACATTCTTAATATGTTTGGTATAAAATAAGATGAATTTATTATGTAAAAATATTAAATTCCATGTTACATTAATTTAAGCCTATGATTGTAAATATCCCCTGAAAAAAAACATAATAAAAATCTCTGATTTTATCATACATTATTGCTTTTAAAGTTTTTTATATAAAAATCTTACGGTAACTTCATCCTCATGAAAATCCAACAGGTAATAAATGATACTGTAATGCTAATAAATCCAACACATATTAAAAGAATTCTATTAAGTTTGGGAGTTGATGGACTATGTGTTTGATCTAATACTATAAAGCCAACTCCACCTAAAGTGAAAAGAAAGCTAGACGCTAATCCTTCCATGATATATTGACCATTCACACGATATGGCATAAATGCCACCTACAATAAACATTTTATAATTATAACTGATGATAATCCAATATAAAACTACTTCCTCTGTTTACTTACAGGCCTTGTGTGACCATGTTCATCAGTTGTTGAGCCTACACTAGGTGGTTCCACAATTACGTCATATATTATACCTTCAAAAAACGTATCATCGAATACTTAATTTCATATAGTTGAAAAAAGTGATAAAAGATTCATATTTGATATAATCCTAACCTCCTGTTACTAGAAAATATGAAAACAGTATGAATGAGAAAACGACCATAGCACTGGGTTTCACGAACCATGATGGCTTTTTTAACTTCAAATTAGGTACTTCTAATGCCAAAAATGGTAAACGGTACATATATTCCATATTTTAAGAGATATCACAGTTAAATCCTCTTCCACGTTGCCTGTGTAAAACTATTGAAAACTATTTAAAATTATCTTCCTATCTCACCGGTAGGGGACGATAATACAAACACATTACCGACTGTAGATATTCATAACATTGACTTCATTTTTTTTAACGTTTTATAATTTCCTCTCTTTTGTGTATTATAATTTTAACTTGGTTTGGAAATATGAAACACTGTATATTAATGACTTATTACTTATTACCTGTTAAAATACGTTCCTTAATTATAAAGCATTATACGTGAGAAATAAGGTAATAAACCTATACTTTCTAACCTAACTAAAGTTAAATGAAATAACGCTTGTGGTTATATACACATTATAGACTAATAGTGGAATTAATAAGTATTGAAAAATGTTTTGTTCAAGGAAATATATAAATTCAATTTTAAGCTATCTAAATATATTGTGACATAAATGAAAGAATAATATATAAATATATACATATATGTACATATTAGGTTATAACCAATTCAAATGTTATAGAGGCAAGTGATTTATTGGTATTTAAATAATAATCATGCAAGACAGTGCACGTGTATCGCCACGAATTTTTACCGCCATACAAAATGTAGATATACCAGTATTAGCTATGTGTTCTCATAAAGAGATCAGACCAATTCTGCCATGTTTGGTACGAATGAGTCTTATTTCCCCTTTGGATGTAACAAAAGAATGTGTGGAACAAAGAAAACAGGTTTTAACAATTTTATCTGGAATTGAATCAGTTAATTCAATAATTGCACTGCTTTCAATCGATTTTCATGCATTAGAAACTGATGTTAGAAAGGAACAACAATTAAGGTCAGTTTCATTGTAACCATTAACAATGCTGTTGGATGTCTTATTAAATAATTAATTTTTCCAGACAAAAGATGGGCAGTTTGCAACGAGACAGTGTACTCACTCAGTCGTTACAAAGTGGTCTTGCTTTGGAATTTGAGCGCAGTGAATCCACTAGAAGAATAAGATTAGTTCTAAGCGAATTACTGTACATAGCTTCTCAAGTACAAGAACAGCAGAAGAATCAAGAGTTCCAAATAAAACAATCCGATCTATTCGATAACGCTGTATACATGGAGGAAATTAGTTACGTGATCTGTGTCGCGTTATCAGAATTACCGACGGTATTGTCGATATTGGACATTACAGAAACGTTGTTACACGTTAAACACGGGCCAGAAATAATCTGTTGGATCGTTGCTAATATTCCTGACAGTTTCTCTGAAGTTTGCGCACATTTAATTGCCAATGGAGAAAGACAAGAAGAATCTGCATTAGGCAGGATCCGAACATTGGCCCTGACGATGTTGTGTCAAATGAATCCCAGTCAAGCATTGGCGGTAAGAGCCAAATGCGTGGAACTCTGTAGAATGCCTGCTTTGGCGATTACATTAAGTTTGGAACACGAAAGCATAGATAACACGGTATCGGAAAGCGACGTTGTTGCCTTTGTTTCAGGGTTATTACTTGGTAGCGATCAACAAGTAAGAACATGGATCGCAATGTTCATCAGAAACGGTCAGAAACGTAAATGGGAATCCCATACTGCGTTGCAGTCTTTAAGGGAAGAATTACTTAAACGATTACAAGCAATCGCTTCTCAAAATGCGGGCCAATTAGCGGAAAGTCAAGTTGTTCAAGCCAGTGCATTGTTACGTCTTTATTGCGCGTTAAGAGGTATCGGAGGTATTAAATTTCAAGACGACGAAGTAACAATGATCGTTCAGTTACTGACGTCTCATCCTCCTCCGTCGCCAGCTGGCGTGAGATTCGTTTCTCTAGGTCTCTGTATGCTGATCGCGTGTTCCTCGTTGATAGGCCATCACAATCTTGAAAAACGAAGCATAGAATGGGTACAGTGGCTCGTTCGCGAAGAAGCCTATTTCGAAAGCGCCAGCGGTGTAACTGCAAGCTTTGGAGAAATGTTACTTCTAATGGCGATACATTTTCATAGCAATCAACTGTCAGCCATTTGTGAACTAGTTTGCGCAACTTTAGGGATGAAAATACCGATCAGACCGAATAATTTGACCAGAATGAAACAAATTTTTATGCAAGAGATATTTACCGAACAGGTGGTCACTGCTCATGCGGTTAAAGTACCAGTAACAGCTAATTTAAACGCAAATATACCAGGATTCCTGCCTGTACATTGTATTCATCAATTGTTGAAGTCAAGAGCATTTGCTAAACACCGAGTACCGATCAAAAATTGGATTTACAGACAGATTTGTAACAGCGTGCCACCGTTGCATCCAGTTCTTCCTGCTTTAGTCGAAGTATACGTTAATTCAATTTTAGTTGTAAATAACAAAACATCGGAGCACACGAACAAACCAATTACAGAAGATGAAATCAGAAGGGTATTTCAAAATAGCGTTTTTGGTGCTAATTTTGACTTCAAGAAAAATGCGAGTAGCATCCCTCAAAATGATACGGATAATATGGATATAGATATTCCAAAACCTTCTCTCACGTCGCAACTGTTGTTGTTGTATTATTTATTATTGTACGAAGATGTGAGATTATCTAACATGCATACTTTTATATCTCAGGATAGAAAAGTTAAATCATACTCGACGGAATTTTTATCCGAATTGCCAATTAAGTATTTACTTCAGTTGGTTCAGAGAGATCAAATGAATTACGCTGGTTTATTTTCCCCTCTTCTTAGACTACTGGCAACCCATTTTCCTCATCTTTCCTTAGTAGATGATTGGCTTGATAACGAAGTGATTAACATAGACTCTTCGGCTACAAACTATGAAGACGTAAAAGTTACCGATATTATGATCATTGAGACATTTTCACATATTCAAACGTGTCCATCGAGGACAGGAAGGCTTTTAAGACAGTTAATGTCTATGAAACCTACAGATATCTGGCCACACGCTGAAGTTATAATTCATTATTTTAAAGCGACATTGAGCCCAAGAGTTCCTAGATACATTCAAGGTAAATTAATTATATTTCTGAGACTTCACTCTACAGGAATAACTAATAATATTGTAAAATTTATTATTCCAGAATTATACAAGCAAGTATGGCTCAGGTTGAACACAGTTTTACCTAGATGCCTGTGGGTTTTATCGATAAATGCTTTATTGATAGAGAATTCTCTAGTGAAAAATGTTTTTTTAACTCAAGAAAACATTGTATTGGATCCGTTACAAGTGTTGAGATGCGATACAAGAGTTTTTAGATGCGCTCCAATTTTGTCTGTTATTTTAAGGTAAGCTTTTAAACACATGAAATGTATTTAATTATTTATGAGAGATATTTTTAGAATTTTACAAGCTGCATTAGCTGCATCTCGATCTCAGTTGTCTAGACACATACAGGACAAACCATTGACAGAAAAAGTTGGTCAATTGTCGAGCGAAACTGAAAGAGAAGATTTAAGAACAGCTTTAGTAGCCGGGCAAGAAAGTGCAGCTGTTCAAATACTATTGGAAGCATGTTTAGAAACAGAAGAAGACAGAGAAACACCGGGGCAAATGTGGTCGTTAAGAGAAATTCGAAGCATTATCTGTTCGTATTTGCATCAAGTATTTATAGCAGATCCATCTTTGGCTAAATTGGTTCATTTTCAAGTATGTATGTTATAATATAATTTCATTGACAAAATAATGCTAGTGTACATGGACATTTCAAATGTACAATGAATTTATAATAATCTATTATTATTTTTGTATATAGGGATATCCAAGAGAATTGTTACCCATTACAGTTACCGGTATTCCGTCTATGCATATTTGCCTTGATTGGATTCCTGAATTGTTGTCACAGCCAGAACCAGAAAAACAAATATTTGCTGTAGATTTAGCTTCACATCTTGCGATCCAGTACGCTCTGCCAAAGGCTTTGAGCGTTTCTCGTTTAGCGATAAATACGTTGATAACACTTTTGGGGGTGTTATCCGCGAAAGACAGAGTGATTTTATTTATGCCTGTACTACCAGCATTAACTCGTATATGTTTAGCATTTCCACCACTGGCTGAAGATACCACTGGTTTGTTGTTACAACTTGGTAGAGTTAATTCTGCGCAGGCTGCGTTAGGAGATAAATCTGCGGATTTGTTATGTCAAGAAGTTAACGAAACCTTTTGTATGTTACTACAAAAAGCTATATTACAATCACAAGTATACTGAAATACTGTCTTTGTTTTTTTCGTAATTAAATCAACTGAAAATGAAGACAGAAAAGGGTGGACCAAAATGTGAAGATAAAACGAATATTATTTATTATTACAAGATGAACTATAAAATAATAGAAACTTTATGACCGACTGTTATTAAATTAAGTGCCTTTTGTTAATGTATTTATTTTCTACACAAATTGTTAATTTGATTATGTTCAACATTTTACGAATAAGACTGAATGTATCTTCTTTTTAATTCATTAGAACAGAAACTACATAGACAAATTTAAAGTAGATTTATTGTTTAAAAAAATATGTAACTTCATTTGTAAGCAATTTTACAACTAGTTCGCAAATTAAAACGTTAATTATAATACAATTGTTAAATTAAATCACCTGTAAATGGAGTTTCAAATTCGATCATTGCGCCATCTATACAAAAATAGCGGAAACTACTCGCCGAATAGTTTCCGCCATTTTGGTATAGATGGAGCCATAGGTCAAACTAGTTTGGAAATCGCGGCCGGTAAGTTATTGAGCGGTTTCCATCGTGTTCGTATAGATGGCGCCACATATCAAATTAATTTGGAAATCGCGGCCGATAAGTCCTCGAGTAGTTTCCGCCGTTTTTGTATAGATGGCGCAATGGTCGAATTTGAAACTAAGTAGATACGTGATTTAATTTTATTATTAAATTATAAACACTTTTACGTAGATTAGAAATAATTAAAACGCAAAATCCAGTTATCTAAGTAATTATCTTGCTTTGCTTTCAGTTTTCTTCAAAACGCAAAAAGATCAAAAGAAAGAACAACTTTGTCGGGGGTTACGCAAACTTTAGTCGTCTGAGTTATCTTTTGACTACAAGTGCGTTCATGATTGTTGAATGTATTATAAATAACAATATTCAAACAAGAGAGTCATTTGTGCTGAAAGTTTCACAAGTGACAACGTGCGTAAATTCTACTTTAACGCAGTGACTACAGTCACTGTTTAACGTTTAAAAAGATGTATAAAACAATAATCACAATAGTTCTTTTGGTTCACCTTTGTATTGCTGGTAAGATATCAAATGTTATTTAAATAAACAAAGAATCGATGATTTATTTAAACAAAGTTAGTGCAGTACGCGTTGCAAATTACTTTTCTTTTTTTTCGATTAGTACGTTTCTTTTCTTTGATAAGAAATTACCTACATTATCAAAGAAAATTTTTTAAAGTCGCAGTTTTAAAACTTCAAAATTATCTGTATGTATTATATAAATCAAGAATTCATTATGTTTTACGAAATTGTGTTCTGTTACTTATTTGGCTCCTATTTTTTATTCTTCTAATATTTTATATGTTTCAGATGTTGATAAAAATTGCCCTAAAATTATTAAACGGAGTCAATGGAGTACTCAGAATGCAAAGAGCGTAAATTATATAATTATTCCCCTTCCTTATGTGGTCATTCATCATTCAGTTACCCCAGAGTGTACCACCAAATCACAATGCATTTCTAGAGCCGACAATATTCGCTCTTATCATATGGATGTTCTTGGATGGGACGACATCGGATACTCTTAAGTACTTTTTTATTAAATATATTTTATAATTTGCAATGATTATTCCCTGCTTCTTATCCAATTAATAGATTTTTAATCGGTGGCGATGGGAATATATACGAAGGTGCTGGATGGAACAGGGAAGGAGCTCATACTTATGGGTACAATAAAAAATCTCTAGGAATTGGTTTCATAGGAAATTTCCAAAGTACATACTATGTATTGAAGATTATTTCAATCTTATTTTGCAATGTTATTTTAATATTTAATAACTATTCATTTAGACAAACCAGCAAGCGACCAAATGGTGGAGGCAGCACATAAATTAATTATTTGCGGCAAGTCAAAAGGAATACTTAGAGAAGACGTTCGCGTAATTGGAGCTAGACAAGTTCAGAATACAGTGGATCCTGGATCTGAACTTTATGCACAAATTCAAGATTGGCCAGAATGGGCTCCTAATGCTTAGATTACTTATAATTTTTAATTACATATATAATTACACGCATGAAATATAAATTTGTTAGCACGTAGTTAGTAGAATTAATCAGATGTAAATTCGTGTAAAGATTCGATACATTTTATACTTCCCATGAACTATTCGTCGCAATAAACTTCGATGAGGAAAAAATTCAACCTTGAAGATGTTTTCCTTGATTTTTCACTTAAAATCTCTTTTACGCGCATTCAGAACCTACATGGTGAATCATTCAAACAACGTAAATTTATAATTTCATTTAATACATAGAGAGTCATTTTTTCAAACACAAGAAAAGATTTATTTTATACTAGTCGTGAAAAATCAATTCCAACATTGAGATTTAAGTGCCATAAATATTTATTATTTACAAATTCAGTTTTATAAAACGCGCCTGCAACGTTTAATGTTTACAGCAATGACGGTGCTCAGAGTTATCTTGTAAAAAAAAAACAAATATAGTTATCCCTTCTTCAGAAAAGGAAGAGTAAGCTGTGCTTCAGAAGAAATGGAATGCAACCAGCCTACCTTGAAAACTGATGCGTATTCGCTAAATATATTGACCCTAACTTTCTTTGTAATGAATTTGAAAAATACAATTTATTCATGTTCGTCAATGTTGTTAATTACTATTTTAAATTTGAATAATTTCCCGCGCTTCTACGAATTCAAATGTTACTAACTTCAAACGATTATCTGAATAATTAAATAATTAACTTTATTTTATTTAATATATAAAATAATTTTACATTGACAAACCTAAAGAACATACTTTTTAGAAGGAATTAAATTTGAATACGTTCTAAATGATTTAAGCGTAAATCACCTGACAAAGTATTTCAACTTTTTTTGTGTCATCCTATTCCTTTTTTTATACATATATCCTCGGATCTTTCCATAGTTTTTCGCGCTTGAAGGTATATATATAAAGCCGGTCCTGACCGACGCATCTTAGTCAGTTCCCAATATGCCGCGATCACTACGCTTGGTAAGTAAATCTACTAATTGTAAGTTTATTTAAATAATCTGAAGGGGTGTTCCGGACGTTTCGAATATTTAATTTTCTTCTTTTAAACTTAATGCGTTGAATATTTTGATAGTCATTAGTGATAAACACCGCAAATTATAATCATTAAATGGAATAATTAAATAGAAAATAAAAATGTTTCTAATTACGGCTAATTCAAATTCAACCTTTTCTGTGTGTAGGTTCTTTTTCTCTTGGCAGTGGTGGTCTTGGTGGCCGCCTCAAAAGATCCTTCGGAACCTGTTAACACAGAAGGTGAACCATCTTTAAGTGACGCTAATGATTTAGATGCTGATGCATCCTATTGGGGGTAAGTTAAGTAATTTAATTTATGTTATTAAAAAGAGGTTCTTTGTTTGATTTCAAAAGCATAAGTGGATGATATTTTTATACTCGCTCACTTATGTCCGTACGCACCGAGAGCCGAGCGTATACTGATTTACTGATCATTCGTTAGGTGCGCTGCGCGCGCCGATGAAGTGGTGGGGGGTGAGCCCAGAACCGTACCAATCTTCCCGTAATTAAGGGGGTTTTGAGATTCCCGATTGTAGTGTTAAATATGTTTCAATTTTAACAAAAATTTATTCATTATTTAATGATATCTCAAGGTACTCGAGACCATGGCGTTACGGATGGAGAGGTGGTTGGGGCTGGAGAGGATGAGTATGGAACGGTGGATGGTGGTGAAAGACGGATAAAGCTTCACATTCTACGTTCTAAAATTGTACTACAATTTTTGTACTTTCATTACCCTCGATATAATTATGTATTTTGTGATTTAATCTCTCATTATTTTTAAATAAATCCTATTCGCAAATTTTAAACATCAGAAGTAATTCCTACCTTTTTCTTTATGTTTATTTTCATGTAGTATTTTACAGTTAAATATGTTCTACAAAGTTTTAAAGATTAAATATCATATTTACTAGTATTAGTTGTAATTGTACTTACTTAGGTATAAACATTACATATAAACATTCAGTGTTTTCTTCTAGTAAATGAAAATAAACCAATTTTAAACTAAAATATTAGTATAAAAGTATAATATTTAGCAAATTTTCATATGCAATTATTATTATCAAACTCTTATTTACAATAATACTTTTATTAAGGCTTTATTACTTCTAACAAATAACTATAATTTAGTATTAATTAAAATCCGTTCAATTATTTCATATGTACATATATTCTTATATACAATTTAATTTGTACGGTTGATAACAGAAAACTGTTTCGAACTAAACATTTAACCGATTTATGTTTAACAATAAACTGAGAAATTCTTGTTACACCTACAGATTGATAATAATAATGCAAAAAATGGTAGTAAAAAATTGAGCAAAATTTATTACCTTCTGAATTGAACAATTACGTGCTTTATACAGAGTTCTGTATACACTTATAAAAGAAGTGCTAATTAAGGAATGAGATGAAATATTCATGGTTTTAGATTCAATTTAACTACTTCCTGACGTATGACAGAAATGAGTTCCTGATTTATTAAAAATATAAATCTGAGCCCTGCAATCTAAAAAAAAATGTTAGTATTAAATTTCTTATACAATAAAAATAAACGCTGCATAAATAATGTTGATACCTCGATTACGCTATTATTGTTAAGTTTCATTTTATTTCCAGCAAGAATAGGTCTGCTATCGACAAAAATTGGTCGCTTCCCTTCCGAAGAAAGAAAGAAATCTCCATTATTTCTTAAACGTATAGTTCCTTGTCTTCGTGAAACTTTCCATGCCGGTCCTTCCAATGTCAAGTCTACATCAACACTGTGATCTTTCGTTGAACGACCTACAGTAATCTAAACATTTCATTTAAATATTTCTTACTGCATTAATATTTATTAGTCAAAAATTAACGTGAAATAATTTTGTAGAATATTACCTCCCGCGATCGCATCAGATATCTAACAAGTCTTCCTCTAAGTATTGCTAAAGTTTGATTATCAAAATCTGGTGGATTTACTCCTGTTACACTATCAACCAGAACCTGCCACCTGCTTAATTCATTTTCTAACACTCTTATCTCTCTTTTATTTCTTCTGTCCGCTGCAATAAGTTCTGCATCTACTAACTCATCTTTTTGTTCGATCAATTCTGTATCGTTAATCATTTCTTCCGCGTCGGAAAAGTTGAGAACATGTTCACCTCTTGGTAAACTTTGTACAGTTTGATCAGGAAGTAAATGATACTGTTTCATTAATTGCCAATGTGCTAATAAAGCTTTAGCAGTTCTTGCAGAATAGAATGTGTGGGCATTTGCTTCAAGAAGTTCTTGAAACACTTCCAATGTTGGTTGAGGAGTCTAAAAAAAAAAACATATACAATTTCCTCGTATTTAAATAAATTAATAGTTATTAAATCTAAACAAAGATTTAGTTACCGATTTTATTGTACCAAGGAGATCTTCTTCTGCTTTACTATACAAAGTTCTGGCTTGCACACTGGCAATTAATTCTGGATGTAAATTACGCATAGCTTGTACTGCTACTCTTGAGACTGCACTGTCATATAGCAGTGCATACCACCTTTGCTGTATCTCTTGCAATGTAAAACGACAAGAGAATTTTGTACCTCTGTGAACCTATTTAAAATCAACACTTTTAATATATTGTTTAAATATATTTGTAATTTTCCTTATACAAAACATATTAATTAACATTTGGACCAATACCATTCTTAAGTCATTTGTCTGTTGTACACCAGTGATTAATGCAAGATCGTCTGTTGGTTTCCATCTTCCTAAATCCTTTGTAGCATTCACTGAATGCGAATGATTTTTACTCTTTTTGTTTTTTCTTCCAGGAGCATTTGATCCACCTGGTCTACTTGTCCGTCGATTACATCTATCCGATTGAGAAACATTTGCAGAAACTTGAATAGGGCTTGGGACATTTTGCTGAGGGACAGCTGATTCCATTGGAGTAGTAGAAATTGAAACAGTTCTAGATCTAGAGGCAGATTTTGTACTCGCAGCTGGAGGTTGTAAGTTAAATGTTGTTTCAACAAGTTCATCATCAAATTTTCTGCGTTTTATTGTACGTGAAGAGCTATAATTTTAATAACAATGGTTAAACAGTTTTTATTCAATAAATTACATCTTGATAATTTAATATTACTTCTTTTGTTATTTATATAAAATACATCTTATTCAACAAGGGACATCTTATGCTAGATACAATCAATTTATTTATAAAGGTGTTTCAAAGCCAAATTTGTTTTTCTAAACACAACCCTTATATTTCGTTCCATATTTTATCATTTAGAAAATTAATAATCACCTTCTACGTTTTGTAGACAATGGATCCAAGTTTGCAGATTCAATAGGTATGTTTAAAAATCCATCCGTATTCTGAGAAAATCCGTGATTTACATTCGAAGGAGTTGGAATATCCATAGTTTTATAGGTTAGCTTAATATAAACAAGCAATCACTACCATACAAATGACCTATGTCATTGTACAATTAATAACACAATATTGACTAGAATCTAATGAATGTAAATTGTTTATCAATTTCATCAGTAGTTGTTTAAGTAGCCAAAACGTTTTACACTTTTTATATGTAATAAACACCAATCCATTACCACACCAAGCAACTTTACTAAACGCAATAGGGCAGCCAACATTCATAAGAAAATAAAACTAACTTTTCATTGTGTAGCACATTCTTCACTATTTCAAATTTGAATAAAACTAATCACTGTAAAACATTGCACTGAAATAAAATAATTAGTTAGAAATAATAATACTATATTTAAAGCTTTGATATATTTAATGTAGGTTGATACTATAAAATTAAAGTACCTTTGTATTACTATCTTATATAAAAAAATACTTGACAACTTATATGTAATTATATTTCAACTGAGAATTACTTAAATGATACTTTTTTCACACATAAATTAATATAAATTTAACATTTACAATAGTGTTAATTTTAAATATATTAGTATATTAAATATATCAAATTTAATAGGAAATTTTAACTCGACAGGAATTAGAAAAACGGTTGATACAATAATCCATTATACACATTAATGTTTTACATATATACTTGGTCTTAAATTTTAAAATCAAACGGAATATTTGTATTATAATTTATATTGTTCCATTGAAAATTGTTTTATAATCATAAATCTCTTGGAATTAATGTAGAAACAAGTATGATTCGTAATTAAACATTAAAAATAAAACTATTTAATATGCACAAAAAATTCAAATACTAATCAATTTCGTGACTAACAAAAAACATAATATTAAAAAACACATGTATTCGTAATATTTATTATATCAAATTGGTATTTTTAATACCGTCAGCAGTCTGTTGATAATATTCAACTACAAATTGATCAACTTTGTCCTTTGTTTATCATAGTTTCATGATGGTCTTCCTTTCCTTTTATTCGACAAGCTTACGTCTGTGTAAATACATATTATGTAATTGGTTACTTTTTCTTTTAAAAAAATGTTTGGAGATGTTTTGGTTTATACAGTCATATTTAATGAAAATTTTATAAAAAGTAATCAGCCTGAGGCTTTTTACTAGGAATTCCTCGACTTTCTTGTGGTGCTGCTTCAAATATTATAAAATCTCGGTGAAGATGCTCATTTAATTCTAATATGGCAGCTACGTTTCCGCACCTATTACATAAATAATTTACTGAAAACATGTAATATTTTTACATTTTTAGCGTAAAATTTAATGTATGTACCTGTAACAATAATTAGGTGCTGACCAAACAGTTAGAACAGTTTCATTGAAATGCCATTTAAATCCTTCCATAACTAATTGATGTGCTCTACATATCATGTCAATATCGTTCGCAGTATTAAACTGTGCTACAACGTCGCTTCCAAAAAGATAACCAGCTCCACGCGGCGAGACTCCCCAACCTTGAGTATCTTCTGGATCTGACCAAAGTAAATCACACATCGGGCCATCATGTGGAACCTGTTAAAGTTATTTGTGTATTACATTAGATTCAATTTCTTTTGCATAGGACATATATATAATTCCTATTTACTTCTTGCTTTCTGTCTATAGTTCTTATTTGATCAAGAGTTTGAATGCTTGGAGATAATCCCCCATGAACACAAAATATTTTTCCATCGATTATCGCGGAAAGGGATAAGTAATCAAATATTTCGGTACAATATCGCCAAACCATAATGCTGCCATATTTACGTAAACATTCATCATAAAAACCATATACTTGTGTAATTTGTCGGGACTCGTGATTGCCTCTTATTAATGTAATCCTATCAGGATAACGAACCTGTAATTGCAAATATGTTAAATATATTTGTTACTTATATATAAGTTAAACTTTTACAATTACTTTTAATGCCAAAAGAAGAAGGAATGTTTCAACGCTATAAAATCCTCTGTCAACAAAATCTCCCATAAACAGGTAATTTGTTTCTGGTACAGCTCCCCCAACTTTAAATAGTTCTTTCAAGTCATAAAACTGTCCATGAATATCTCCACATACCTGAAAATAAATAATAGATTTTATAAATTGTAATTGTAATCATTCTCTTTCCTTCTTTTCTTTTTTTGTAATGACGTACAGTGACTGGAGAATCAACTCTTTGCACATTACTTTCTTCTATAAGAATTTCCCGTGCTTTTGCGCAAAGAGCTTTAACTTCAGCTTCTTTGATAATTTCACATTTCTTCAGTTGTTCTATTTGCCGATCCAAGTCACTAGAATCAGCCATCTTAACAAGTAATAGCCTTTGCTGAAAATGATATGTATTAACCACTTATTCAAATAAATATATTATTCATAAAGTTTTATGTTTACAAAATGATTAAACTATTAATAAAAAGATTTCTTGTTACATTTCAATATCCTATTGTATTAATCTTGTTATATTTAAAGTTATTTAAACATCTTAATTACTTTTTAAATTTCTTTAACATTTATACTTTTAATAATAATTTTCCAAAAAGATTATCTTTGTTGAAAAAATTCAATAACTGATAAGAAATTCAGAATACAATAATTGTTACTATGATGAAACATTAGGTAATAATTTAACCATTAAAAGTCATGAAAATAATTGGTTCTATAGAAATAAATAATGTGGATAAAGGAAAAATTAAACGTACCTGGTCAAGTACAAAAAGCGAGGACTACTTCGCTCAATAAATAAAAAGCATTTAAAGAATGCACATGCAACTAAAATTTTTTACGTATATTTCATATGTGTTAAAATCTTGACGATTGGTTATAAACAACTAAAAACCTTTTTTAATAAACTTCGAACATCACGATGTAACTGACATTAGAAACAGAGAAGCCGAGAATAAAAATTCGAGTAAACTGGCATAGATTATAAGAACGTGAGAAAAGAAATTTCAACAAAATTTAGTGCTTCTATTTTGATTTTATGCTATAGTAACATGACTTATTCAGGCGAATCTAAATACTGTATTGAAAATACTCCTTTAATTTATATCTAGTAACAATTTATCTCGTAAATCATAAAAAAATTTTTGGTTAGAATTTTACCAAATTCAAATTACATTTTATCAAATTTTATACATATTAAGATAATTTGCAGAATTTTATTTACATTTTCATCTTTATCATCTTACAGTTAATAAGATGGTTTTATTATGATGTTGATAATTTTTAATGCTATATATTCAATATATTATATGTACATGATTGAATGGTTGTTTTAATATTTAATTGTTACATTTACTTAAGAATATATATAATATAAACTATATACTTCATGTTAGAGATTATAATTACATGATTTGCTTACAACAATATGATTCTCGTTATTATTTTGGGGTTACATAAATTCTATATACGTAAATATAACTCTATTATGCTACTTTAATTTACAAACTAATCACACGTGGCGCTAACTTGTATCTGCTACAATCTGCTACTAGTGGGAGATAGTGTCTTTACGGATCTTTCGTTCTACTTGTTTTTCTTTTTTCTTTATCCCCTCTCAATAACTATAGTTGTACTCTTCCTCTCGACTTCTCGAAGATTTCCGCGTATCGAGTTGAGTTCAACATCAGTGCGTACCATCCTAAACGTTCTCTATTTGCATAAACAATCGGAGTGTTTAAAAAATTAATGATTATATTCGACTCAAATTTGTGAACTGCTTACGGAAAGAAGACTGCAATCAAAATTTCTTATTTTTCCTCATTTTTTTTTTCATTGCTCTTCGTCTTAATTTTTCTCTCTTTCGATACACACGAGTGCGAAAATATCAGATAGCGCAACGAAGTTTCAACATCGATGTATCGATACTAAAGACTCCCGGGGGCGAGGTTTTGAGACAATAGTTTCTGAGTGAGGTTACATGGACTCATTGAAATGTCGTGGTTCCTCGAACGACGGACTTACGATTAGCTCAGGTAAGTTTCATTTAAATGGAATTCGATTGTGATAGGATTGTTTAGAACGAAGATACACGCGATTTTCATCGGTTTGGAAGAGTAGCTTTTATTGATTGTTGCTGGCCCGATTATTTTAGACGATGACGTGCTGCTTATGTATACTCAATACCTTGTATCTTTACCCGTGCCGCATTCCTTCGGTGCAACTGTGCGATGTTTGAGTTAAACAGGATACCAACGTTTCCACCTCTTAGTGTTTTCAACCTAGACGTAGAAAATAAATAAAAATTAATAATAATATCATGAGTTCAACAATGTGAGGAATACAAGTATCGATATATATAAACATTATAGGATACATGAAATAATGTTGATTATATTCAGCAATATTCAGTACGATTATATTACGAAGTAAAACAGTATATTGTTATTTAAACTTTTCTAATAAATGCATTTTTTTAAAATCATTATTATTTATTACAATTCAAGAAAACATAAATAACATAATCCGCGCATTTTTTATGATTTTGAATTTATTATGAACGGAGGTGGTTTGATCGGATATAGTATTTGTTGAATTACTTTCAATTATGTATTTTACTTTATATATGAAATTTTACCGTCACTTTTAAAGTAAGCGACCACCCACGTTCAATTTATTCATCTAAATAAGAGCATCCAGTACAGTTGTCTGCGTTCTCGTTACAGCTGTAGGTTTATTATATCCTTTTTTTAAAGTTAGGGTCTCGAGAGGATACGGGATAGGGCCAGTTTACTAATTTCCCTCGTGGAGAGCAGGTAGACAGCTTGTTTCCTGGAAGTAGAAAGGCTCCCTAAGTACATTCATGGACTTTTGGATGCTTGTGCATTCCTACGTTATCTTGAAAATTACCTACTCTCTCGTCTCTCGTTTTTTAAATACATATTTCGATTAACATTTCCCTCGTTTCTCAATATTTTTAACTGCGCTTTTATTTCCTCCGATATTATAAAACTGCTCTTATAAAATTGATTTGATAATTGATACATTAATTAATAAGAAGAGTAATCAAGAAAAGTTTGTATTAATATTATTAAATGTTTATGAAGGAATAGCTTTATGAAATAGCCTCAGAATCAGTAAGCGTGGTATTCGTCAGCACGCATGCGTTGAAAATCCGCGGTTAGATTAATCCCATGATTATTACGGCAACAGACAGCTTGGCACTAGTTTCTAAACCTTTCTGCTTTTATCTCTGTCTTTAATAGACAACAGGTCTGTTGCAGTGGTTCTCAAACTTATTTTTATTCCGTTAAATACTTTAAATTTTATGATAACGTAAAAAATGTATATACATACACTAAAGAGCGCAGTGACTGTGGCAGTGAGCTTCCCTGGGGAAAATGGCGGCGCAGGGGTTGCGGCCCCAAATTATGATGCCTTATCACGTGGGTGTAAACGTTTACGCGGGAAAATTTGATTTGAATTAGTTAGATAATAAATTTCATAAATGAGATTAAAAACTCAATTGTATATGTTAATTTATATTGAAATGATTTGTAATTTATTTATCTTATTCTAAAAGCACGCAATTGAATTGCATTTCCATTTAAAATTATTAATTAAGTTACAAGAGTAGAATTTATGCTTTATATTTAAGAAAAAGTATATGTAATTCATATGAAATGAAAAGATTTCAATTTTCTGTTATTAGGGAGGCAACATCCGTGAGCAACGACATCACAATGCGCATGTTGCTGCCACTGAGGTTGGTTTTCGTCGCAGCAGGTTTGCTGCTGGCAACTACCAAAGCAAATATGCATTTGCACTTGCATTCCGACACTACCAATCATCTTGTTATTGGTGAACGAGAGCAAGCAATTGCTGGAATTGAAGCTAGCCTTCTTTCCCTTCTTGGTTTTGCCAAACGACCAAAACCTCAAGGTCCAGCTTATGTTCCAGAATCATTGAAAAAGCTTTACGTCAAACAGAATACCATTGGAATGGCTGATATTGCTAAACCAGGAATCCATGCTAGATCTGCTAATACAGTTCGCTCTTTTTCACACATTGGTAAGCATATATACTCAAAAACTATTTGAATTCTATATTTTTAACAGTTTATAATAACATGTTAATCTTATTTTCTTTTTTTGAACACAGAAAGTGAGCTGGATCATAAATTTCAATCTCCAAACCGTTTCCGCCTGTCCTTTGATTTAAGTAGCATACCATCAGGAGAGAAATTACAAGCTGCAGAGTTAAGTCTTTCTCGTATACCTATCTTAAACGAAGATTCTGATCGGAAACTGAGTAGAATACTCGTATACGACATTCTACGTCCTGGTATGAAAGGGCATAGCACTGCACTTCTACGTTTAATCGACAGTAAACCGATAGACATTAAAAAGAACGATACAGTCAGTCTAGATGTTCATCCTGCTGTGGAAAGATGGATAAAAGATCCCAAGAATAATCATGGACTGTTAGTACATGTACGTGGAATGAAACAGGAACATGTACGTTTAAAAAGAAGCGCAGATGAAAGAAACGATACATGGGTCGTTAGTCGTCCAATGTTATTTACCTACACAGATGATGGCAGGTATAAAATAGTCTTTCTTTATATTCTTTCAAGAAACGAGTAACTGAAGAATTTCATTTTCATTTTTCATCTATCCAAGATAATACTTTCAACATTTTATCATTTTAATACTAGGTATAAGATGTCTTCTGCAAGCCAAATAATGAATCGTCGTGCTAGAAGAGCGGCTCTTCGAAAAAATCGCAGAAAAGACGGTCGGGAGAACTGCAGGCGACATCCACTTTACGTTGACTTTGCGGATGTTGGTTGGAATGACTGGATCGTTGCTCCTCCTGGTTACGATGCTTTTTATTGTCACGGTGATTGTCCTTTTCCATTGGCAGATCATTTGAATTCTACTAATCATGCGATTGTTCAAAACTTGGTTTATTCGACGAAACCAAGCATGGTGCCAAAAGCTTGCTGTGTACCTACCGCTCTCAGTTCAATATCTATGCTATATCTCGACGAAGAAAACAAAGTGGTCTTAAAAAATTATCAGGACATGGCTGTTCTTGGATGTGGGTGCCGCTGACTATTTGCTAACCAATTTAGTAGACTATTTTAACAGTGAAGAATACATATATGTGCAATAAAAACGAGAATAGTTAAAAATCGGCATGAAATATTAAAAGAATGATTTAAAATCTTGTTCAGTCGAATGGAAGGTAAACTACTTTTGGAGGTTGTACATTGAGATTTTTTATTAATTAATTGTATTCAAATAGCCTAAACTGTCGTCCAATTTATCCTTTATTCGTAAAATAAAGGGAGATATGAAAAATTTATACTTTTATACATAAGGATTTTAATACACGAGATTTTGATCCTTGTTTGTACTTGTGCCTTACTTTGTAACATTTTACAGTCGAAGAGAGAAAAATATATTTTCAAACGAGGATTTAAATCGAGATAAATATACGCCAGAAAATTTTAAGTATCCCCCTCTCATTGAAAAAAGAAAAATACTTTTGGAACAATTGTTGTACTGATTACAGTACGAAATCTGTAAAATAGATAGAAATAAACAGGGACCAATGTAAATAGTATGTCTGTATAGTGAATTAGTATGCATAGTATTCTATTCGATGTTTTTATTAATATTTCTATGTTCTTCGAATGTACACAGATATTGCGAATGTAAATAGTAAACAACTTTTAATAAATATATATATATGTTAAATTACATTTATGCTTTTGTACTTAAAAAGAGAAAAAAAAGGATTAATAAACAACGATCATAAGAAAAACGAAACATTAATCGAAAACAGAACTAACAATTAATAATTTATTTTTATTACAACTAGGGAACATAATATTTAATAGATAGAATAATAAGTATCGTATAAAATATGTAACAAAAGTTTTATTCCTTTATACAATTATACTACA